GGTGTGGGGGGGTTGGGGTGATGGTTGGACTTGATGATCTTAGAGGTCTTTTCAAGCCTTAATGATTCTATGAAAATTAATGAAGAAAAGGTAGCATACAACTTATAATCTCTTCTGACCACTTGTTTAATATCTGTGTGTTAGATTGCCCTTCGTGGTGAAGGATACATTGTACAACCCCAGCATTAATTAATTAATGCCCATTTATCCCTGTGAGAGGTGCAATCCTGGAGCCGCCAGCCAGCCAGGGTCTGCGGGTCGGGCGATGCCGTGCCTGAGCTGCAGCACCCCGTGAGCACACAGCCGCGGGAGCCCCGAGCAGCAGTGAGAACGCGACGTGGAACTCGCAGCCGGGCGCGGGTCCTGCGCCGGGGAATGCCGCGTCAGCGCGGTCGTAGGCTGCGTGGCGGTGGGCGCGTCTGGCGTGCCGTGGTGCTTCTGTTGCTGCTGGCCATGACTCTTGCTACGGCATTGCAGTAAGATAACAGGTAGTTGGTGAGCTTGTGTTGGGTACGTACTTACAAAGCTGGTACATCTAAAGCTCGGAGGGTGAGAAAGCTCCTTGTTACTGTGTCTGCTCCCTGGTGCTCCGACTCCAGCTGCGCTGCCGACACCGTCTGTGCTGAAGCCTTTTAAGCTGACTATTCTTCACAATTTAAGATGGAGAAACAAGTTAAACTTACATATTCTCTCCTAGCAGTAGCACAAACCGAGCAGCTGTATCGCTTCTTGCTTGGTTCTGCTGAACTTCGGTTTGTCTGGGAGAAGTCGCAGCTCGGTGTGATTGTTGTGGACTTTTGAAGGTTGAAGTTTGTTTTAGAAACCTTGGTTCTAAGTAACAGGCTTGAGAAGCTTTCAGTTATTTGAAATGGAATTACAATGTCGCCTCGTGAGCCAAGACTTTGTGTCCCCACGAGGAGGGAAAGAGCCAAGAAGTGGGAATGCCTTAAAAGGAGCGGAAGCCTGTAGATACCTGCAGACTAAGACTGATATCTCCTGGGTCAGAGGGAGGAGAATGCTTCCCAGGGTTGAAGTGTGGTGTCCTGAGGAAGCTCGGAACAGCACCAATGCCACAGAGACAGGGGAGCAGGCTGAGCGATGAGCTTGTCGGTGAGCTCGGCGTGGTGCGGCTGCTGGGCTGGTGAAGCGATGGAGGGGCAGGGCCGGCACGTGTAACCCTGCATCCCTGGGCCTCCTCGGTCAGCCGCGCCACGCGGTGAACATCTCCCGCCGCAGGTAGTGTGATGGCCGATAGCTCCTCGGGTGAAGCTGGGGAGTCGCTTCATTCCCCCAGATTTTGATGAATTTGGGTTATGCAAAGTGATGCCTTCAATCCAGTGAAGTGGATTAGCTTTCCTTGGCATGACCTTTCCAAAGAAACCTGTTCCCCGTCTTGATAATGGATGTTCTGCGGTTGTTTCAGGTTACACCCTTACCTTCAGCATGAGGACATCTCGCCTCGTGTGCATGATATGATGGGGAATAGGTGTCTGTGACTGCAGTGAAGGTTTTCTGGGATTGGGTTAGACTCCGAGTGAGTCACAGTTAAATGGGCGGTTTTGCTGTATCAGAGTAGAAAATGGTTCAATGGTTAAGCCCTTTCAGAAACAGCTCATGCTCTGGCCAACAACTCGTGTGACAGGTTCAGCCTGGAGGAATTTGGAAAAGGTTGTGTGAGCCTTTACAGCGCCAGAGACCCGGGGAGCATGGTGTGGAGGGGGGCTGCTCTGCCCGCAGCCCTGCCGCGGTACGGCTTCCCTGCCCTCGCCTCTCCTCCTGAGGGTTGGTGCTGGACCCAGGCGTTCTCCTGAGAGAGATGCTTGGCTGTCACTCTGATGGGGGGAAAAAAACCCGGCACCTAGATTCTTTCTTCTGTAGTTATAGATAAAATACATCTGTGCCTTGCAGAATCACTTTGTTGCAGGTGCCCAGCTTGCCATCTTGGTGCTTTGAATTCAGACAGCAGCCCAAATGGTCGGCACTGTGCTCGTTGTGTAGAGCAGACAGAGTATGCTTGTCTGCAATGTCTGGATGATGTTTGATAAAACTGCCCTTAAGGCAGCAGCGGAAAACTTCTCACAGTGCTCAGAAATCTGGAAATGAGAGTCAAGTGGTATGGTGTTACTTTTTTTTAATTAGGTTTTTAAAAAACTGCTGGCTCTGTGTCACAGCCTTGTCCCTTCTCTGCTAGCCCACACTCCGCTCCTCCTGTCTCACACAAGGGCTCGCTCCTTTTCCTCCTTAATAGCAGCGTGCCTGATTTATTCTACAGGGTTTAAATTAAGAGGAAACTCAGCAGCAGGGGAAGAAGTGATGGATTTGAAGGCAATTCTCAGGCTCTTCTCTCCTGGCTCATTAGACAGCCTGGTTTTTTTTTCTTTTTTTTTTTTTTTTTTTTTTTTTTAAAAAAAAACAGGCTTGCTCCAGCCGCCAGACGCCTCGCTCGGGGTGCTGCTGCCCCAGGGATGTGGGCACCAGTCCCCCCCGGAACTGGAGATGCCCCCCAGCCTGCTAGGAAGCAGGTTTTCTGTCTCCCAAGAAGAGCCAAAGCGTCATCGTTTCAGCCTGGGCTTTCCCCTCGTGAGGTCCCCGTGCAAAGCTGCCTTGTCCATGGCCATGGAAGGTCTCGTTCCCGTGTGGAGCTCTGCCATGGCAGACGGGGGCAGGCCATTGGAATGGCCGCAGCCTGATCCCTCAGCGTCTTGGCTACAGATCGGCTGGGTGCCCGTTCAGTTCACGGAGAATAAGCTCTTATAAACATACCTCAGCGAGCTGAGAAAAGGAAAGTGTTTGAGGTTAAAATATGAACTAATTAATCGTAGTGATTTGTGAGCCTCTGCTGCTGTGAGTAAGAACAGTTACACAACTGCACCTTTTAAAGAAGGAAAAAGCTTCGTTTCTAGGCCAGCGGAGGGAAGTGCTCCCAGCCGGCGACGGCATGGTCTTGGGCAAAGCTCCGGTTTTGCTCTTCGGCATCGTGCAAAGAGGCTGGAGCGGGCTCTGCGTGCCGCC